ATATTTCATACGACTAACTTTCAACATACTGTCATTTTCATTAAGTCGATAGAGCCGCATGCCCTGATAATGATTAATTAAGTATTCTGTCCAATTAAATTTCATCATGCTAAACTTAAATAATTGTTTATCTTTCTCTTCGAGATTATCCCACATTGATTGAATATTATCAGTAGAATAAATCCATTCTGTATTATAGAAAGGTTCGATTGCTTTACAAAATTTGTCTACCTTCATATATAATTTCCACATACTGAAATATATTGAATATTATTAAAATTGTTCATATTATTAATATAATTTTATTTGATTTAAACAGAAACCATTATAGTAATACATACAGTCGTAGTAGTACATACAGCTGGTCTCAGAAAGGTAGCAACACTTTTTTTTAGATACAGCCGCCTAATCACCCAGCGATTAGTTCTTATTTGTGTATCCATGAATAAGAATCAATCGATCGGTGAGCAAGCTGCATTCCAAAATCTCATCGAAAAAAAGGTGCAACCTTTCTGTGACCGCAGCTGTACGTTAAGGTTCAGTTCCACAATTTACGATTAACTCTTAACCGAGGTTCAACTTATTCACTGTCTCTTTCCAATTCTAGAATGGAACGAGATAAGAAATGAGAGTTGTACTTCGGTTAAGAATTAACAGTGAGTTAATTCTTAAGAACTTAAATGAGTGTATTCAGTATCATGACCGTTTATTGAATGCTCAGTGAGAGGTTGTAGTACTGAATGCACCCAATATAAGACACAGTATTTATATTTAAGGCTAATGCACATCAAAATTTTAGTCAGTAATTATAAGAGATTTAAAGGAAATATTATAAGCATAACAGAAAATCTATCATGGCTGTGTGACTTGTTGGTAGGACGAAAATCTACTAATATTTTTTTGTGCAAGAAAAAATTTAGAATTAAATTCACGACGCGAAGGTCGTATTCATAGTCGATTCTTATGTTTAAGACTGTCGTAAAATCTTAAAATGTAAATCAATCCGAGGACTGTATTAAGATCTTAAGACATTATATTAAGGCAGTTTTAAAATAAAAAACAGACTATGAATACCGCCTCATGTTTCGCGTTTCATAGTTGTAGCCCTTGGGTGCGTTTCGAGTTAACGAACAAACATGATGCATCATTTGTCTTCGTTCATCAAATAATAAAGGATAAAACGATACATCAGCGTAACTTGGAATGCACCCCTTGAAATTTATGAACATTTATAGAAAGAAAGGGCGGAGATTTAAAGAGAGACACCGTCCAACTGCACACACCATGTAATCCCTTCCATCATGTTATAACGTTTCACTAGCGTTGCTTCTGCACACAGGACGCAACAACGCTTAGCCCCGATGCAGTAGCCAATCAATTTATTGCTTTTTGCAGTTTTATAGTTATGATTATAATTTTTACGTGCAATGGCCTT